GGGGGGAGGACCAGGGAGGATGATTCAACCACTCAACCACTAGATGTCGCTGAAAACAACATATCCTACACACTGTGCCTTTAAGTGTAGATAAAGTGCACTGTCTTATGATCATATTGAAATGTTCACTTTAAAACACCAGATAATACCAGTATAACATTGTTGTGTGTTTATATGTGTTTGTTTTAACAGACAGTGAAATGGTCCCCCTGGACTGCATGCGTCCTCGTTCCTTTGCCACCACCCACCGGGCCTCGATACGGCGCAACAGTCACGACCCTCGCCTCTCCATCAGCCTCTGCGACCTGAGCCTACAGCAGCAGGAGATGCGTCTGGAGGAGGACGATGAGGAAGAGGAACGGCTGCAGCCCCTGAGCTCCACTTCCTGCCACGTGCCCCAGAACTCTCAGAACTCCCAGCAGAGCTCGCTGCTGCCCAGCTCCTTGGACTCGGACCTGCAATTCCACACGATGCACGGCCTCCACGTCACCATGCTGGACGAGCACACAGCGGCGCGGCCGGATCACCGGGGCGACGAGCGGACCCAGGTGTTCACGAGCCGGCCGACGCGCTGCTCAGAGACGGTCTTTGTGAAAGTCAAAGCGGGAGCCGCCAGAGCCGGGTCGCTCTCTTACGGGGTGACATCCTGTGACCCGGCCACCTTGAGGCCCAGTGATCTCCCATCAAACCCAGAGGCCCTGGTTGACCGCAAAGAGTTCTGGGCCATGTGTAGGCTGGCGCTGCCACTCCACAGTGGGGATATTTTGGGCTTTGTGGTGAATGCAGAAGGAGAGTTTACAATGAGCCACAATGGAGTCAGGGCAGGACTGCAGCTGTGCATTGATAACTCCAGACCTCTCTGGATGTTCTTTGGCCTGCATGGCACCGTCACACAACTCAGGATTTTAGGTAATTTTATCCTTTTTTAATATTTCTTTTATGTTCCAAATTATAAATCAAATACTACACTTTTGCAGTCTGCTTATTCCACAAGATGATCCAGATTTAAATGCAATGCTTGTTTTCGTCTTACACTGTCAAAAGATCAAAGTCGGGGAGAAGCTTAATTGGATTTCAGTTAGAAAAAAAATCAGCAGAGAAGGAAATTTCCTCTATCTGAGGTTTTATCAACAGTCTGAGTCTTTAATGTTTAAAGTTCTTAAAATTCAAGTGTCATCCACAGATTTTTAAAGATCGTTTGCAACTTTCAGTTGAGAAGTTAATGCAGTCTGTGGTCCTCGAATGACCTTTGGAGGCAGAATTTGCACTTTCCCAAATCATAAAATAGTTTCCCATCCTTAGCCATCTGGGCAGCACGCTGGCTTTTTTTTATCAACTCATATATCAGGTAATTTGAATTTTTATCCCAAAAAAATTTGCATATAAATGTTAACTTTGTGCCTTCAGTTGAAGTGAAATTTGGTCAGTTTGATTTTGTTCCAGCAGATCCCATATAGAGATTCTGCAGCTTTGTGTGCCTGGTGATGAGAAACCACAGTTTTCTATAATAAATTTACAATTGAGGTTATCGGCAGACCAGCATGTTGAAAGGTTTTGAAGAAAACGAAGAAATAAATTCAGGTTTTCTGTTTTCCTCTTTTAGGACATGTTTGGTTGAAATTAAAAATACCTTTTTTTGCATCACAAAAAGTTGATTTTTGCAAACATTTGGCACACAACATACAGAACTAACTTATTTTGAATGTCTGTTTTAAGTTAGAAGTATTTAGTCTACTTTTTCCAGTGTTGATGTGTGCATTTTTTTTCTATCCGTGCTTCTATGCTGTCAGAATGCTGGGAATTTAATGCGTTTTGATTTGACTGTGAAAGGTTAGAGAGCTGAAAGAACAAATGTGAGGTTTTTTTCGATTTGTTTACTGTCACTGGAGATTACAGCATTCATCTTAATTTCTTGAAAAACAATTTTCCTCCAACCTTCAAATTTATAGCTCGCTAAACCATTAATGAATTGGTCGCAGCAGGTCCGATATCTCCTCAGGGGAAATCTATAATTTGAGATGAACTCCGCTGAGGGGTTAAAATGCACTTAGAATTGATCCATTTTCCTAATTTTCTTCCGCAAATCTGCTCTTCCATGCAGTCACTCCGACCAAGAACTAAGGAGGTTATTTCTGTCTTGCGTGGGCTCCCAGCAGCCAGCATCATGTGTCAGGAGGGAGCCTGCGATAGCTTCTTATGATGCCCTCCTGATGCATTATTAAAACGTAATTGCATGGAGATTTGAGATGCTAGGTTTTCCACCCACAGTTCCTGTACCAGTAGTCTCAGATCGTCKCTGTACTTCCTTATTTTTTTTCCCTTTGCATTTCACTTCTCTTTCACCCCCTCCTTCCACTCATACTGGTTCTCTGGGGTATTTTCCTCGAGTCATTACCCACTCCAGTTGTGGGGGGATACATTTGTGACGTCTGCGCTCACCCACACTCGCTGCAGCTGCATGCCATAAGTTACCATGGAGACATCTAGCCACTGAGGCAAGTGACAGTTTGTCATGGCTAGGTGCTGTCAAGTCTGTGAAATGGAACAGATGGGAGTCTGTTGCTGTCGCGTGGTCGTTTTGTCTGCGTTATCCTTAAAAACTGGAAATTTTGACCATTTCATCCGAGATATTTAAGATCATTAATGGCCCATAGTGGTCCATGCATCTTCTTGGGGGTTTAGCTGCTATCATGAAGCTGCTATAAGATTATTTATACCGCCATTTTGCCATGTGATTACGTCCACTGACAGGTAGCGCTGCTCGGTTTTGCTACAACATAATGTTCTGCTTGACAAAAGCTAAATCCTGACATTCCCATGTATGCTATTTTGACACTGGAGTCACCACCCACTTAAACCTTTCTAAAGACCAATCACTCCACCTACAGGGCTGCAGCAATCCCATATCAGGGCCCATCTCAGCAGTACAGTAATCTCCTACAAGACCGGCTCACCAAGGCTCTTAAACGTGTTGAGTTTTTTTTTTTCACCTGACCTCCCAAAGTCTTCAGATACCAATCTAATAGGATCAGCAGAAAGCAAGATCATTTAATAGAAAACCTACTCCATGATCCAAAGAGCCCAAAGGATCATCCTGACGAGTCGAGCTGTTTGGGTCAAATTCTTCGACAAGTTAAAAAGGCAAATTGTCTGACTCAAATGGATTTTTTTTTATTTAGCTTAAATCAAACAAAAAAATCATAAAAAGGTTCAATTATTTTTATTCCAACGTTATTTTGACAGCCTATTTGAACTGTTTTACATTAATTTTAGATAATTACACGTTTTGATTGATTACTGAATTTTATTTCATTGTTTTACCACTAACTTTCAATTTGACTGATGTCAGTATATAAAACAAAGATGGGCCGACCTTGTTCTAAGGCAGCCTGAAGACTCAGGGTAAAGAATTGGATGCCCTGGGATTATACCACTAGACATCCTGAGCACTGGGTAAGAGGTTATGGTTGTTGCAGTCTTTAAAGCAACGTCAAATGGAAAAGCAAACTAAAGCAAAAAAAAGTGAACCTAGTAAAAATTCAGATATATTTTTTTAACAAATGAAGGCAGTAGTTGTACATCTGCTAGCCATCAACTGAATAATGACACTGTGGAAACTGTGAATGCTAACAGGGTGAAATGTTGGCGTGAGACAAAGCTACATAAAGTTTACAATCACTGTTTGACATTGCTGATGCAGCAGGCCTGCCTGGAAAAAAAAAGTCTTTCTGATGAGGAGCCAATATGTTTAATACTTCACCTAAAAGACATTCCCTGTCCACAGTCATGCGAGATAAGATCTCATTTCTAATTGGTTTACATGCTCCTGACTCTGCCCCTTAGTGGCAGTAGAACGAGAATCATGGGAACTCACAAAAAAACTTCAATGCGCTTGTATCTACAATACCCCCGATGCCTTACACCCCTCCATCCCTGATGCATAAACAACAGTTTGTCTTGTAAACGTGGAAGGTGATATATCTCTGTATTTAATAAACAGCTCTAAGCCACTATCCACATAGCTCAAACACAAACAAGAATCCTGCACCTTCAACACAGCTAAAGACCTATGTGGTCGCACAATAAATTCATTCCAAAGAAAATGAAAGATGCCTTTGATGAAAGGGTACAAGAATAGACATGAAGGTTATCCCTTCTGCTTTATTAGCATCCACCATAACTTTTACTCACTGCCAGGCAGTCAGAAAGGTCAGTATAAGATGGTAATATAAAGCTTCTTTAATGCTTTTAGATGTACAGTATGCAGGGATCTCTGTTCCTCCGACAATCTGGTGTACAGTGAAGTCCAGATTTTCATGGGGTTTATGTTTTTAGAGTACCAGTGAATTATGGGGGAAAATGCAAATATTGGATGTGGTACATAAAAGGCCTACACGGCATTAGAGTGACATCTGAATGTGGTAAGAACCAAACAAAATCGCATAACAGCTAAAGAGTTAGCAGCTACACACCACACAGTACTGTAAAGGTGGAAATGCTGTGCGAAGCGTGGGCACAGGCCATACGTCACATATTATACTGTCTCCTTTTGGGGTTTTTATGGATCTAAATTTATGTTAATATTTATGTAACTGCATTGTTTATAATAATTTAGCTTGAAAAAGCATGAAAGAACAAACAAATTGTCATTCGTTACTGTACTGTATTTTTTTCAGTGTGGGGCTTTTTGGGCATTTTAAACTTGATAATTTATGAATTATTAAAATTCATAAATATATATGTCGAGGCACCACTCCTCTTTATTTTGTTAAGAATTATAACTCAGGAAAGAGAAGAAAAACTAACATTATTTCCATAATCAGTCTCAAAATAAATCAGTGCCCAAAATTACGAGTTCTTGTCTTAGACGAATCAATAAAACTTTATCAAGTCACAAAAAGACGTTAATTTATGTTGACATGTTCTCCACATGTCATTTATTTACAGATTAAAATTGTATTTACAAACTATGGCAGATATGGAATGATGGCATAATGAAAAGGGTAAAAACAGCAATGGTTTGACCCTTTGAGGAAGAAAAACAACAGTCTCTTTAGATTAAACCAGGGGTGCCCAAACATTTTCCCTGAGAGGGCCAAAATTAAAAAAAAAAACATTTTTCCTGAGAGGGCCAAAATTAAAATCAATCTGAGGGCCACGGGCCAAATGCAATAATATAATAAATGCAAATGCTTAAGTAAAGTTGTTTTATTTTTTTACGATTAAACCAGTGTGGTTGCCCACATTCTTTAGTTTGTTTTTTCAGCCCTTGGACTTGGAGAAAACTCAATGTATGCAGGCAGCAAAGACTCATAGGACTTTTCATAATTTAAAATGAGAGTATATGTGGTCTTAAAAGGTGTGCAAATCTATATATGGGCTTTAATCTAAATTTCTCTTGTAGTTACTTGAATTTTATATTTAATCTTAACATAATTACAATCTAGTAACCAGGACAACTGCTGGTGGGTCAAATCAAATGGCTCGATGGGCCAATTTTGGCCCGCGGGCCCCACTTTGGGCACCTCTGGGTTAAACAGAACTTGTTGGTGGTTTGAAAACAGAACGCGAATTGATCAGAATGTGACAATTCTGACACATTTATGGCTCAAACGGAGTCAAGAAGTCTGTTTTTCAAAGTTGAGGCGAAGTTGTGTTTTTAGTAAGATAGTTCCTGTTGGGAGTACCTTGTACCAGGCTCGGGAGATAGATCAGGACCAGAGATGCTCTGTGAGGTTAGAAGGTTGGTCAGGTCATAAACCGACCAGTGTCTTGGGTTGTCTCAGGACAAAAGTTCAACACAGAGTGAGGGTTTTCTCTTCTCTGAGTTGTTGCCATGGGAATGATTAAAAATATGATCAGAGATAATAATTTCACACGTAGGAAGGCCCTACATCAGTGTTCGGTACAAACTACTAGTAGTTAAGGTCCACAAAAATATCTGAGTCCGCAAACTGTGAGACACAACTTTGCAAGGCTTCACTGTGATTAAAAAAATCATCTCTAAAGGTGTGAATAAGTGCCACAATCATGATTTTGCAGCACGATGGATCAGTGGTTAGCACTGATGCCTCACAGCAAGAAGGTCCTGGTTCGATCCCCGGTTCAGACCTGGGATCTTTCTGTGTGGAGTTTGCATGTTCTCCTCATGCTTTTGTGGGTTTTCTCCAGGTACTCTGGTTTCCCCCACAGACCAAAAACATGTCTCACGCTGCTGCATAGATATCTTTATAATATGTTTGGATCATGTTTTTCAACCTGTTTAGTTTTCTCTGTTTGCTATGATGTTTTCTGAAATAGTACATCATAGTTTTTGCGATGAAACTACAATAAGGAGGAATTCAGACTGAAGCATTGCAGTTCCACTTTACATAAACCCCCAAGTGAATGATTTAAATGTGAAAAATAAGGATTTAAAGCATGATATGTCCACTTTAAAGACAAGGAAATTACTAAGATGTAGACTTTATGTGGTGACCCTTTCTAGCAGTAAACTTCTTGTTGTCCCACAATGGTACCATCATTTGTTGTTTATTGAAGCTGACTGTCAGATTAAACTCTTCAGACCCGTCTGGTCCAGCAGTGTCTTCCATGTTCAGACAAAGGACAGCGTGCAGACAACAATGTCGTCTGCCTGTCAGGCAGAGAGGATCAGAATTGGTCTGGCCGCACAAGTGGCTTGCTGTTTTTCTGTTTGAGCACAGATGAGCTGCCAATACAAGAAGTGATGCCAGTGCCCGTGGTTATGAGGCACACATGGGGATGGATCGTATAGAATAGACAAAAGATCGTCTGTGGAAGTGTTTTGTACCTTACCCAGAGGGATCATGGGTTTGTGAGGGGGGGTGGTGGCTTTTTAGGCTTGTGACTCACTCAACACCCACACATACATAGACGGTGAGCTCACTTGTGATAGAACTGACTTAATGTGTGTCAGAGAAAGACAGTCTGAGGCAGTTAGATCAACAACTACTCTGCTGCATTTGAAAGCTAACTTCTTGGGAAAAAAAMMAAMRAAWWKTTTAAAATMCATCGCAATTAGCTCTTCAAAACCAGGTAATCATATATTGATGTTAATGTTAACCTAAATCCTCTTTTTGTCTATCTCAGGCTCATCTTTGCATCCAGACCAGCGAGGCCYATCGGTGCCCAGCTCCCCATCATCTACACCCAACACCCCAACAATCCTCAGCATCAGCAACTCTGAGTCAAACCTCAACACCCCACTGAACATTAACCTCAATTCGAGCCTTAACTCCAACTACAGCACGCTGTTCTCATCCTCTGCAGGTCCGACACTCTAACCCCTTTCTGACTCCTATTTCTGGTGCATTTCAAGTTAGAGCTTCAGTAAAGCCTTGCAGTTATCTAAGCTAAACATCTTGCATATCTGTCACTAGAAATGAAAAATAGTTGTGTTTTTAAGTATAGGGTGCTGTTTGTAAAGTTACACAGTCAAAAAATACCACCAATATTTTGTTTTATTTTGCCTTTTATAAGAAAAAAAGAACAGATTTATTTTTCAAAGTCAGTTTTTCACCATAGGATTCATACATTTATAAATGTCATAGTTTATAAACTAAATACTAAATATTTAACTTACAAATTAAATATTTAGGTAACAAGCTAAATATTTAACTTGTGACTTAAATATTTAGTTTTCAGCTGAATATTTAGCTTGCAACTTAAATATTTAGCTATCAGGTTAAATATTTAGCTAGCCACCTAAATATTTAACTTAAATATTTAGCTAGCTACCTAAATATTTAGGTTGCAACTTAAGTATTAAGCTGGCAAGTTAAATATTTAGCTAGCCACCTAAATATTTTACTTAAATATTTAGCTAGCCACCTAAATATTTTACTTAAATATTTAGCTAACTACCTAAGTATTTACTTTGCAACTTAAATATTTAGCTAGCAAGTTAAATATTTAGCTAGCCACCTAAATATTTAACTTAAATATTTAGCTAGCTACCTAAATATTTAAGTTTCAACTTAAATATTTAGCTAGCAAGTTAAATATTTAGCTAGCCACCTAAATATTTAACTTAAATATTTAGCTAGCTACCTAAATATTTAGGTTGCAACTTAAGTATTAAGCTAGCAAGTTAAATATTTAGCTAGCCACCTAAATATTTAACTTAAATATTTAGGTGGCTACCTAAATATTTAAGTTGCAACTTAATTATTTAGCTAACAAGTTAAATATTTAGCTAGCCACCTAAATGTTTAACTTAAATATTTAG